TTTTCCTTCATTGCATGCTTTAACTGTCTTCTTTCAAAATCACCCTCTTCAATTTGATTCTCACCATCATCATCATCATCGTCATCCAAGTTGTAACAATCTTTATCTCGTAATGATTGCATAATTCGTTCTTTTTTCTTTTTTATAGAAGCTCTTTCTTTACTACAATCACTAAGATGATGTCTCAAGAATTGTGACACTTCTTTTGGTGCACGTGGACATCCTTTCACCTGGCCGGATACATGTGCAATATGCTGCTTCATTCGAGTAATGCCACCATAAACTATTTTACCACAATAATTGCACTTTGTAATTCGTCGATCACTACCAACAGGTGTTGCGTGTTTCCAACCAATGTCGTGTTTTTTATGAGCCATTCTACAATGTCACAAATTTCAAATAATTAAATAAGTAACATGCAATTGATTGAAATAGTTTAAATATAAAAAAAATGTAATTGGAACATTTAATTTTATATAATTTGAAATAGAACATATATTTTTTATAAATAAAAAAAAAGGAACTTATATCTACTCATTTATTATTATAAAATATTGATGTATCTAATTATTACATTAAAGTTATAATTTTTTTGATCATTAAAATACAATAATTTTAATATTTATGCAATAAATAAGTAATTTAACTATGACAATAATGTAAAAAAGCATGTTCGTCTTAGAAAAGTTGAACTACTGACCTGCACATGACAATTTGCATCACCCAATTGAGCTACTACTTTTAAGGTAAATATAAATATATAAACACTTAGTTGAAAAAAAAAAAAAAACAACCTGCATGTTGGAGCATTGGAGGAGTCAAACCAGGGACCTTGCAACAACTTAATTTGCAACACCACCCAATTGAGTTACTACTTTTATGTTACTTTTAAAACAAATATAAATATATAAATATTTGATCAAAAAGAAAAAGAAAAAAAAAGGGCAAACAATGTGTTGGGGTCTTTGGAGAAGTTGAACTACTGACCTACAACATTACATTGTGCAAGTCCACCCAATTGAGCTACTATGCTTATGTTAAGTTAAGACAAATATAAATATATAAATATTTGGTCAAAAAAAGAAGAAAAAGGCAACAATGTATTGGGGTCTTGGAAGAGTTGAACCAATGACCTATAACATTACAAATGACCTATAACATTACAATGTATAAGTCCACCCAATTGAGCTATTACGTTTATGTTATGTTAAGACAAATATAAATATATAAACACTTAGTACAAAAAAAAAACCTATACTACATGTTGGAGCATTCGTGGAATTGAACCAGAGACCTTGCAGCTCAATTTGCAACACCACCCAATTGAGCTACTACTTTTATGTTACTTTTAAAGCAAATATAAATATATAAATATTCGTTCAAAAAAAAAAAAAAAAGGCAACAGTGTGTTGGGGTCTTGGAGGAGTCGAACCAATGACCTACAATATTACAATGTGCAAGTCCACCCAATTGAGCTACTACATTTATGTTATGTTACGATAAATATATATATAAACACTTAGTAAGAAAAAAAAAACTAGACTACATGTTGGAGCATTCGTGGAATTGAACCAGGGACCTTGCAGCTCAATTTGCAATACCACCCAATTGAGCTACTACTTTTATGTTACTTTTTAAGGCATATATAAATATATAAACTTTCCGTAAAAATAAAAAAAATCAATTTTTTTTCCTACCTATTTTACGTTCTTCATCTTTCTCACTTCCCAGAGTCGCACGGTAACAGAGTGCAGACAGAGAGATGCACAGTGTCATTCCTCGCCGATATAAACCGAAGAAAATCGTCTCAACAAAGAATCGAAGAAGATCCTTTCAACTAAGAGTTGAACAAGAATAACAAAGAATCGAACAAGATTGACACACAAGACCAAATGAAGAAGATGCTTCAGGGTTCGATTTTCAGGTATGGTAGTAATCTTGGTTTTTTATAGGGGTTTGCTGCCTTAAGGTTCATGGGTGTCGAGTCTTTCAATGAGTAGTCTGGTAGTAGGTCTGCTTTATTTCCCATCCCCCCTTTTTTTTTTTTTTTTGAATTTTTGTTCATTTTTCAGAAAAATGAAGGAGTGTTGATAAGCTTTTGCAGAGGTGTGGGTCAGATTTGGGGATTTTTCTACTGTCGTGTTCGACTCGGAAGGATTCCAAGTCGAGTTGCCCTAGTTGAATCGAGTTTTCACCGACACCTTTGATTTCGGCCGAGACGTCTGAGATATTGCCGATACAAGTTAAATTCGTCAATCTTTCGACTCGTGTATCGTTATCGTATCGTCAATGGCCGGGTTGTATCGGACTCGACCGATACTTTGAACCCTGCTCCTGATGTAGCAGCCAAAGATCTTATAAGATATGATAATCGACCACCTTGCTTCATGCTTATGTACGTGCACACACACCCCCATATCGCAATGAAACTAGGAATTTTCTTTGAGTGGCCAAGATAAACCTTTTCATTTATCAAGTTGGCCAAGATAAACATTACCAAGTTGGCAAAGATAGTCACAAGATTAACCAACAACAAAGCATAAGTTATTTGAAGTTATTTTCTTGAATTGCCTTCAAAATGACTTCTCACAAAACCCATTATCAAAATTAGGTGGTTTTAATGTATGCTTTGTACTAATTTGGTACATTTAGTCTGAGTAAACGTGTTGGAAATGATATTAAGATTCTCTTCATGATTTGTGCTTTTGACTGATAAAAGATTTGTTCTTCAAGTCAATTATAGTTTCATTCATTAGTGTTTGTTCGACCAAATGTGTGGCACAAGTCACCTGTTTATCCAAATGGACTAACATAAAGTTGTAAATATCAGCAGAGTTGCTTTGCAATTTGCATTGTCATTGCTAAACTCCCAGTGTAATGCTCATCTGTATTGGCCTATAGAATAAGTGTACAATTTTACCCATGGTAAAAAAAAAAGCACTTTTTTATGTACGAAAACCTCTTTGTTAGTAAATAATAGTATAGAAGTTCTACTTGCAGTTCTCTAGCATTTGGAGTTGTCTGTGCAATTTATTAAATTTTTGAACCGTGGAGTGCAAAATCTGAGTTTTGCATGGTGTTCTTTTCGCAAGGTTTTTTGCATAATTTCAAACGTCAAAAGTGTTAACTTTGATCAATCAAAAAAAAGTAAGAGGAAGAAATAAGAGAATATTATTAAGACACAATTAGCCAGAACAAAAGATTAAAAAAAAACTACATATAAGAGGTCTTTATATAGTAAACTAAGTTAGGGCAACATAAAAGAAAACAAATGATTAAACTACCCCTAAGTCTAAATATAATAACTATTCTAACACCCTCCCTCAAACTCATGATGTGGTAACATTAAACATCAAGAGTTTGCTAAGAGAAAAATGGAAGCGTGCAATGGTGTGAGATTTCGTAAAGAAACGATCAGCAAGTAGCCAATACAATCAAACTATCTCTGTTGTTATGAAGGTCATAACATGATACTCAGCTTCAACAGATGATCGAGTCACAACAGTTTGTTTCTTACTTTTCCACGAAATAAGACAATCACCAATGAAGAGACAGAACAAGTAGTGGACTTGCGATCCATAGAGTCACTAGCCCAGTCCGCATCAGAGTAAGCACAAAGTTCCAGAGACGATCAAATAGCAATGAAAGGTCCAACAGAAAATCAAAGCTCAACAAAAACCACCAGCAACAATGCTCAACAAAAAGTGGAAACAAAAGTTTTCTACTTATTCAGTGCGAAATAATGCAAATTGGAACAAAAGTTTCCTGCTTATTCAATACGAAACAATGCAAATGGAAACAAAAGTTTCTTGCTTATTCAGTGCGAAACAATGCAATGCTATGTCAAATAACAAGCCTAAACGAACAAATCAAAAACCAACAACGTGACAACTCACAAATGCACAAAACCAACCAATCAACAAACCAGTCCAAAAGCCCAAAGCAACAGGAGCAAACGAAGAATAAACAACCAAACTAGCAACTAGAAGAAGTAGAAGAAGAAGAAGAAGCACCAGCAGAAGAGAAGAGGCAACAACAAGTCAACAAAAATAGCAATCCAAATAGCAGATCCTAACGTGCCAACTTCACAAACCAGAAACCAACAAAGAAGCAGACGCTCAATAGGTCTTAATACAAGTATCTTGAGCCAATAAATCAAACTAGCAATCTAGCAACTAGACAACACAAATTCCATAACTTTCAAAAGTCTAGAAGACAAACAAAGACAGCAAAACAGCAAGACAGTAGCAAAATACCAAAAAGACACTAAAAATCAAAATCTGGCATTGTTCACAGCATGAACAGTAACGTCGGTACCGTTCACAGTGTGTGAACAGTACTTTCAGCACTGTTCATCCAGTGAACAGTATTTTCGGCACTGTTCACAGCACTTGGAATCACAAAAAAAATAGCAATCCACCAATCATTAGTCCTCAAATCACACAACCCAAGAATATATTCTTCTTCCAACTAAATTACTGTGGTGCTACAATATATATCTTGGATCGAAACCATGCTCTGATACCATGTTAACTTTGATCAATCAAAGAAAAGTAAGAGGAAGAAAGAAAAGAATATTATTGAGGTATAATTAGCCAGAACAAAGCTTAAAAGAAAACTACATATAATAGGTCTTTATATAGTAAACTAAGCTATGACAACATAAAAGAAAATAAATGACTAAACTATCCCTAAGTCTAAATATAATAACTATTCTAACAAAAAGTTAGTGTTGATTCCAAAACAACCAGAGAAAGTTGGGTCGTATACTTGCTCACCGGTGGACATTATCCAGCTAACCATTTTTCAAAGTTTCTTCTGCTATGTTTATCTTTCTTTGTTGCATACTCGGTCATAGACAAGAAGTATTGAGTGTATCGATAGGTGCCTAAGAAAACCTACTTTTCAACACCTCTCTTCTTTTTGAGAAAATCAACCTTCTGAACCATTTCCAAATGGCCATGAAGCTGAACCAGTTGAGCTGATTCCAAATCACACAAATGGTGTTGATGAAATTCTTAGTAATGCTGAAGCCAAATGAAAAAGTGCCAAGTCAGTTATGCATTGAAGTCAAGAATCTCAAGCGGCTGAAGATATACTATTCAAGACCAAGAAGATGGTGCCAGAAAAGATCTATTGGAACCAGAACTAAGGCTTTGTGGTCACTCAGAGATGAAGAAACTGGAGCTGTTGATGCCAGAGCCAAACTCACACAAAACAGCCTCGCAAGGAAGGCAGAGGAGATGATGACCATCAGAGGTGATCAAAGTGTATCTTTTATGTAATGAAAATTGTATGTATTGTCACTCAGATGACAGTTGTTGATAATTGAAAATACAAAAGAATAAAGAAATTTTGTTTTCATAAGATAGTATCTTCACTTTGTTTTTCTTTACCGTTCCTACGATTGTTAAAATTGTGGCTTTTTCTATTTCGGCGACATAGTATGGACCCTCATCAGAAGAGGCCATATTTGTTGATTCAAATCCCAATCTTCAAATTATGATCGTCTAATGTGTTGGCTTCAGTGGTTTTGAATTTTTTTTTTTTTTTTGTGGTTAAATTTCTCTTCAAGGCGTTTCTTAGAGGATTCTGCCATGACTATGATTTTCAGGAAATTCTATGATCAGGATTTTAGGTTGCTTCCCTAACTATTTCTTTTTCCTCGAACCAACACCTTTTCCTTTTGGTGGACTGCTGAGATATGTGCAATGGCCCATGAGGATCAATTGGTTTAAGTTGTGGATCTGTGGTGGTGGTTGTTCCATTGGATGTGAATTGCCATTATTGGTGAAAATTTTGGCGAGGGTTTAACCTTAAACCTCACAAATTATCTTCTTCTTTTTTTCTCTCTCTTCGACAGTACAAAACATGATTACTTCAACCAAGACAGGGAGAAATATGCCTAAAGTGTCCTAAGCATTTGCCAAGGGATATATACATATTTTAAATATATATTTTACGAACTATCCCTCAATGCTTTGGTGCCAATAACCAACGAAAATCCAACCAGACAAAGCACTAAATTCTCAACCAACTAGGCTTAGTCTCAAGCGTCCCCATTAATTCGATAATGTCAATCAAGATGTCAAACGGTCAATGTTTGTTAAAAATAAGGATAAATTACACTTAAATTATTGAGGTTTGTCATTTAATCACATAGACTTATGATATTTAAAATTACATGTAAACCCCTAAGGTTTGTATGTATCTAACACTTAGACCCATATCATTAGTGTCCGTTAATATATTTATTAGAATTTCATGATGTCATCCTTATATAGAAATATAATTCTAATAATACCCTTTTTTTTATTGGGCTGATGTCAATTGTTTATGGATAAAGTACACTCGAATTCCTTGAGATTTATCATTTAATCACGTAGATCCTTTCACACAAGGAATATTATACTAAGATTCCCTAAAATTTATGCGTGTATAAATATAGATCCCTGTTTGTGTTAGGTAGCAAATTCATTAGAATTTCATAATATCATCATAATATGCCAATATAATTCTAATATTGCCCTTTCTTGTATGGACCCCAATTTTAATTTTACAATCAAATTCATGTTCTATTATATCATTTATTAAAATAAAATTAAAAACAAGAGTCCAATATTTTCTAAAAAAAAATTAATAATTAGTACAAACATATCAAATAAGCCTAATCAATACATTTTCATATTCTACAATACCATCCATTGAAATAAAACCAAACAAAATCTCAAATTTTGAGAAAAAAATCATAATTCATACAAACATATCAAAAAATACAAATTGATACCCATTTGTATTCTATTATATTGTCTAATAGAATAAATCAAAAACTAAAATCATATTTTTCTCCCAAAAAAAAAAAAAACCTAAATAGTACAAGCATTGATATGTTTTCTATATTATGATGACATAATAAAATTAGAATGATTATAGGAACGTCAATGACAAAGATATATGTTTTGCATGCACACAAATTTTAGGGGGTTTGAATATAATATTTCAAATGTAAGAAATCTAAGTAATTAAGTGACAAATCTCGATGGGTCAAAGTATAATTGATCTAATATTTTTCACCTTTAATTGGGGCATTTTGATTTTTTACTTGGTTTCGTTAGTCAACTGTCATTAATAAAATGTCTGGGTGTAATATTTTAAATATGATGTGATTTAATATAATTAAATGGCAAACTTCAAAATTTTGCGATGTAATTTACCCTAAACCTTAATTTTTCATATCCATTTCTTGGGAAGTTTTATTGTTTTTTTGGTGATTCTATTTATTCATTATTCAAAACTTTATAATGGTTAATTCTTCCCTCCAATTCAAATATTGATTAATGTTAAAAAGGTTGGTTGAAATAACCACCAAGTTTTGCTCAAAAAAAAAAAAAAAATAACCAGAAAGTCTGGGTGAAGTAAATTACCAATATTCGTTCGTCAAGGATTGCTACGAAGGAGCTCTGCTTCAACAGGGGCTTGGGTGGTATGAGAAATGAGATGAGATGCAGCTACTGTTTCAGATGATCTTCCATCTTGAGATTGACTTGTTTTGAATTCTCCCAAGCATTTGGTTCTATGTAAAACAGGAGTGAATGTGCTCGAGAGGACCCTAATCCTCTCGATTTCCTTCCTCGTCTTCGCGTGAAAGTTGAAACAAACCCAGACCCTTGTTACTCTTGGCCATGCCTTCCCCTTCCTGTAGCTGTTTTTCAGAGTCATATGAGTAGTTTTGGCTGCTGCAGTAGTACTTTCATGGCCAGAAAAAGTGAGGAGCAGTGAAAATGTCACACACCCAGCAAGCTTTCACTCTCATCCTAAAAATGATTAAAAGCCCACCACTCAAAGCTCTCTCGCTCTTCAACTCCTCAACCCAAAAAGGGCTCCAACACACTCCCCAATCCATATCTATCATCATCCACCACCTTTTCTCTTCCAAAATGCTCTCACATTCCCAATCTCTCATCCAACAATTAGTCTCTAATCGAATCACCTCCTTATGCTTCACGCTCCAATCTCTTCTCCTCCATTTAACGCAAACCCATTTCAATTCTACTCTTCTATATGAAGCAATTATCAATGTTCATGTTCAATATCAATTGCCAGAACAAGCCCTTTTGTATTTCAATCAAATGACTGATAAAGGCCTTGCACCCACATCAAATACTTTCAATAATCTTCTTAATTTTCTCATCAAGTCCAATTATTTTGAAAACGCTTGGTCAGTTTTTACTGAAACAAGGAATACAGCTGTATTGGATATGCATAGTTTTGGAATTATGATAAAGAGTTGTTGTGACAATAATGATTTATATAGAGCTTTTGAGGTCTTAGCTCATTTGGAGGAACTGGATCGGCATCCAAATGTTGTTATATACACTACTTTGATAGACGGGTGTTGTAAGAATGGTGACATTGAAAGGGCAACGAAGTTGTTCTGTCAATGGCGGAGTTGGGTCTAATTGCTAATCAGTATACGTACACAGTTTTGATCGATGGGCTATTCAAAAACGGACTTAAAAAAGATGGTTTTGACTTGTACGAAAAGATGAAGCTTGATGGTGTTTTACCTGATATATTTACTTACAGTTCTTTGATTAATTTGTATTGTAATGATGGTAGAGTAAGCATAGCCTTTGAATTGTTTGATGAAATGCGTGAGAGAGGTGTGGCATGTAATGTCGTGACATATAATACTCTGATTGGAGGATTTGTCAAGAGATGAGGGTGCTCGAGGCAGAGAAATTGGTGGGTAAGATGAAGATGACGGGTCTGAACCCAATTTATTCACTTATAACATACTGATAGAAGGGTTTTGCAAAGCTGGGAAGATGGACAAGGCTTCAAGTTTGTTCAATCAGCTGAAGTCTTATGGTTATCTTTAGTTACTTACAATGCTTTGATTGCGGGGTTTTCTAGAGTTGGAAATCCAGGACGGGTTGTGGATTTAGTTCGGGAAATGGAGGAGAAAGGCATTTCTCCGTCAAAAGTAACATATACAATTTCTATTGTTGGGATTTAATATGCTTTAAACCCACAAATAAAACTCTTCTTCCAAACATCTGATGTAAACGACGTGACCACTCCACCATTTGACAATTGAACTACTGAGATAAGATTTCTTGTTAAAGTAGACACATGTCTAACATCTTTCAATTTCAGAACCGTCTCATCTGTCTGAGTAATCTGCACATCCCCTTTCCTAATAATATTGCAGGCTTCTTCATCGCCTAAATACACTTTATCAAAGTTTTCCTGTACATAGTTTTGTAGCACATCCATGCATGGAGTAGCATGGAATGAAGCTCGAGAATCTACGATCCAAGATTCACTGCGAGAATCCAACGAACAAATCAAAGCATCATTATCAAACTCATCAGCAATATTAGCAGTATTTTTACCTTTTTGATTATTCTCATTCTGCTCGTTTCTCGGTGCCTTACAGTCCCACTTCTAGTGCCCATTTTGATCACAGTTCCAGCAACCCTCATCTCTGCCACGAGATTTACTTCGGCCTCTGTTTCTCGGATACGACTTTCCCTTGCCCTTTTTATTGCCTCCTTTATTCATAGCCTTACCTCTCTCCTCTGTATTGAGTGTTGAACCTGAAACAACATCCTCAACTGATGCTCTTCTCCGAGTTTATTCTCAAATCAAATTTTATCTTTGCAGACCTAGAATAATTGCTTACTGCCACGACAAATACATTCCAACTTTTCGACAGACATGATAAAAGGACAAGAGCTCTAATTTTATCATCAAAAACAATACTCACAGATTCTAACTGATTCGTGACTGTATTAAATTCGTTGATATATTCAGCAACAACAGTGTTTTCAGACATCTTTAGGTTAAACAATTTTTTCATAAGATATACCTTATTCACCGCTGAAGGCTTTTCGTACATCTTTTCTAGAGTTTTGAACAAATCTAATGTAGTCTTTTCTTTGGCGATGTTCGACGCAACTGACGACGCGAGACACAGTTGCACAGTCCCTAGGGCTTTGCGATCCAGAACATCCCACTTTGCTTGCTCCATATTCGCTGACTTCGTCCCATCGATAGGTTGATACAGATCCTTCTGATATAAAATATCCTCCATCTGCATCTTTTAGAACGCGTAGTTCGTGCCATTGAATTTTTCGATCTTGACTTTGTCTTTAACTATTGACCTCTAAACCAAGAACTCTGATACCAGTTGTTGGGATTAAATATGGTCTAAACCCACAGACAAACATACATAATTGAAGAACAAATCAAGAATATAAAGTAATAAGAAAATAAGAAAGAATAAGACACACAAAATTTACGTGGTTCGGCAATTTGCCTACGTCCACGAAGTTTCAGGGATTTCATTATTGAGAGAGAGGATTACAGAGAGCGGCTATACACTTTGATCAAACCCTAATCACCAAAGTAGCAGTTTTTTATGTCTTACGCACTGAGCTATAAAACAAGCCCACAAATTTTCCATGAGCGCTACAGGGCCCAAGCCTTTGCTCCATGGACCAAGCCTCAGAAAATTTTCCATTAAAAAAACACGCAACATTACTTCGGATCGGGTCATCATCCGAATCAACATATAAACTAGACTCCACAAAGGCTCAACACTTATTGATGGCTTTTTCCAATCGAACGACATGGAAAAAGCGTTTCAAGCCCATGCCTGCATGGAGAAGGCGGGTTTGTTGGCAGATGTTTGCACCTATGGAGTATTGAAACATGGTTTGTGCAGTAAAGGAAATATGAAGGAAGCTTCAAAGCTATTTACATCAATGCATGAGATGAATTTGGAGCCAAATGATGTAATCTACAATATGATGATTTATGGATACTACAACGAGGGTAGCTCCTACAGAGCCCTTAGGCTGCTCAAAGAAATGAGAGAGAATGGAATGGTTCCAAATGTGGCTAGCTATAGTTTGACCGTCAGACTTCTTTGCAAGGAAGGGAAGTTGAATGAGGGTGATATTCTTCTCAACTATATGATAAAGTCTGGTTTAGAACCATCAATTTCTATTTTTAATGAGATATGTAAAGCCAAATCCATTGATACATAGAAGATTCTGACTTTTCGAGGCATAGTTGAAGGGAATCGGATACATGAATAAAGATGTAATGGCAGGAGTGAAGTGCATGGATAGAAGTGACTGTTGCGTGCTTTCGATCAATAGCCAAAATCTGTCATTGTTGATGATGCTCCCTTACGCTAAATACTCACCTTAAAAGGCCATCTAAGTGGAACTAAGTAAATCTGGTCTGTTTCTACTTTCTATTGCTGATATGTAAATTTTTATTGCAACCCTAGGGTTCTTTAACAAGGGTGACCATCTCTCAGGTTTCTGAAATTAGTGGGATAACCACTGATGCAGTACAAGCAGTCTCCCACAAGCTATGACATCAAGAAGTGGTATTGGCCTATTGGCCAACATAAAAGGGACCTTTTCGTGCCACTTATAATTGATGTATGTGCTGAGGATATTGGCTTTAAGGCTTACAAAAGAGGCAAGAGTTTCAATTCTCACAAGAAGTGAAAAAAATGTAACGAAGTTAAGTTGAGTGCTCTGAAAGGGGGAAAGATTTAGCTAAGTTGCAATGGCCAGAGTTGGGAAAAGATGCAACAAAGTTAAGTGGGTACAAATTAAAGTTTGTGCTTCTTTTGAGTGCCCTCCGTTTTGTACAAATTAAAGTTTTGTACTTATGAAAAGATGCAACAAAGTTAAGTGGGTGCCCAAAAAAATCAAAAAACTGTGAAATGTAAAGCTTAGTTGGCCATCGACAAAATTGTGCTACCATGACCATTGCAATCACAAATTGAACTAATAATGACTGATGAAATGTACTAAAATGCACATTTACACATGCACACACATACAAAAATATTGGTGCAAGTAGTGAATATTGAACATCTAATAATTATTTAGTAAATTAATTTGTTAGTATTACGCAAGCCAAGAACAAGAAATGGTTTCTCTACATTTTCAAATTAAAAACTCTGGTTTAATGCCACATCATACAATATAATACCACCAATTGAAGTTATTTTCAAAAATTGCCTACAAAATGACCTCCCATAAACCCTAGGTTTGAAGACAGAGGTTCCAAACCGTGTGCATGGCGCTGGAGAAAGTCTGTTGCCACCTAAAACGAACCTTATATCGGAAGCCATGAAGTTTGGCCCAGAAAGATCATCAAGCTTAGCCTTTGGATCCAATTTCAAATAAGGATTACAGGGCAGTTGGGATTCTTCTGATGCTTGAGGACTCAAACCCATTAGAAGCAGCATCACAAAGTCTTCATAGCATCGTAGATGAAGCTCTGAGGCCAACCTCAAAGCAAGAAGATTGAGTGCCTGTAGAATCAGAAGCTCCAGATCAGCAGTTCAACCCTATAAAGTGACGTGGCCGACCACCAAATGATACCCCAAACCTGAAAGCAACCAAGAACAGGACATGGTAGATGGTCCCATCACAACATATGAATTACCAAAAAGATGGGTGATGGGCTGTATAACTCGTTAAAGTGGCAAAAGTGTTGGTCATATTGACAGGGTAAATTCAATAGTCTTTAGTCTGATCATAAAATTTCAGTATCAAATTAATAGATTTGGTTATTTTTAGGGTCTTTAGACTGTTCTTATCTTTTGCTCGTAGTAGTTGGGGTTTACTTTTCGTTGTTTTTTTCATTTTGTGAAGTAATTTGTTAACAAATACTTGTGCTGTCTTTTTGATTTAATTTTGTTATTTTTGTGAGGCTTGGGATCCAGGGAAATTTAAGATCTTATTGATTCCTGTGAATGGAAAACTTAAATGTTTTTTTTCTTCATCAACTTTATGAGTAGACCAGAGATCAAGATCAATTAATTTTTAGCTTGAAACAGAAGTTAAATTTTAGTGAATATTGAACAACTAATAAGTATTTAGTAAATTAATTTGTAAGTATTATACAAGTCAAGAACAAGAAATAGTTTCTTCACATTGTCAAGCTAAAATTGTAGTTTGACGACACATCATACAACATAATATCAGTAATTGAAGTCATTTTCTAAAATTGCCTTCAAAATGACCTCTCATAAACTCTAGTTGTTGAGCTAGAGTTTTCCAACCATGTGCATGGCGCTGGAGAAAGTCTGTCGCTGCCCGAAATAAACCTTATATTGAAAGTCATGGAGCCTGGCCCAGAAGATTATCAAGCTCAGCCTTCGGATCCAATTTCAAATGAGGATTACAATTTTGCTGAGATTCTTAATGCTCGAGGATTCAAACCCATTAGAAGCAGCATCGGAAAGGCTCCATAGCCTCATAGATCAAAAGATCAAATGCATGTAGAACCAAAAGCTCCAGATCAACAATTCAACCCTAGAAAGCGACATGGATGACCACCAAAGGGTACACCTAAACTTGAAAGCAACTAGGAACAGGATAGAGAAGATGGTCCCAGCACAACATATTAATTACCAGACAGATAAATTATAGACTGTATAACTCGTTCTTATCTTCTGCATGCAATGCTTGGGGTTGCTTTTTCTTGTTTTATTTCATTTTGAGAAGTAATACTTTAACAAATACCGTGCTGTCTATCTGATTTAATTCTGTGAGTTCTGTGGATTCAAAAAAATTTAATATCAGTAGATTCCTATGAATGGAAAACCTATATGTTTTTTTTTCTTCATCAACTTTATGAGTAGACCACAAATCAGGATAAGTTAAGTTTTAGTTTGAAATAGGAGTTAATCCACAGCTACTTAACTAGATTTTGGTGATATGATCTATGTTGTTTATTTATAAGGTAGAAAAAATGCTTGTAGAATTTTAACTTTGTAGTTCACACAACCAGATATAAAGAAAGCATGGAGAAAGAGACAAAAAGAAGGAATTGAAGGAAATTAATTTCCCTTCTTTTCAACCGTAAAATTCTCAATTTAAAAAAAAAAATAAAACCTCAAAAAAGTTAGATGGTGAAATTATAGCATATGTACATGATGGAGGTATTATGAGTTAAGTATTCATATGATCTTTCTACGTTTCCTTTTTATTTGGGGGTGGGGAGGTCTTGCTATCTCTTTTCTTGTGGAACATATTGAAAATTGATGTTGTTCACATAACCTATAAAGTAAGCTTTATATATCATGATCAACACCATAGATAAAAATTTTAATAGCTGCAAAGTAACGTATCTGAGTAGTCATGTCTACAAGTAAACCCCTCATGGAAGACTTCCTTCAACAAGTTGAAATGGACTCTCAAAATGAAGTTTCTTCATTCTTCAATGGAAGATAATTTTCAGCTGGATTACATGTTGATCCCTGAGGCAAAGCACGTGTTACGTTGTCGATAGCTAGCTTGTTTTTGATTCTATGAGTTATGCAAATGTTGAATCATTGTTCTAGCTTGATAGGAGATTTTATACAAGAAATTCAGCAACTATAAGACATCGCCTCGAGCAACAATGTTGCTTGGGCATGTTAGTAGATTCAATTAATCATGCGCTTCTATCTTTTAAGATCAAGATTTGATCTAAGAATTTTTCCTGATCTTCTATATAGGATTTAAATGGGACACGTTGGCATCTACGAACAAGTGCAAAAAAAGATTTTGTTTAGTTATGTCAAGACGATTCTACATATGGAAGGATGCAAGATTTTGCTTAACATGAATAGGGTTCTTTGTGCTTTGAATTGTATGTGCATAGGTGTCAAGTACAAATATAAATTTTATTGCAGACAATCTTGTTGTCCTAATGATTGGAACTTCAAAAAAAAAAAAAAACAGTTATCAATTTTGTCAACATTAATATATGAAATTAGTCATGTTTCCAATTGAATTGTCAGTTTTTTTGTTTGTCAGAATGTAATCTTTTATATGTCACTAACTAGTCTAATTTCTTTTAATGTTTTTCATGGCCAGATTCAAAAGAAAAAAAAAATATCAATATTGCCAACAATACCATCCACTATTGAATAAAAATTTGTAAGTGCCAAATTAAATTAGCTCTAATAACGTTAACCTTTAATACTCTCTCTCCCTCTCTCTCATATATATATCACTAATGTTATTGGGACATAATTTATGAATATAATTTGGGGACATAATGAGTTGTCACCAATGATATGATAATGAATTCATTTAATTCTCTCTCTCTCTCTATATATATATACCTTTCAGATCTATCTATGCAATAGATATTCTACCGTTTCTATAAAAAAAAATTAATCTTTAATTAAACATAATAAAACCTTGATATACCATGTCCTTCACAAGACAACCTTTCCTATTCAACGGCCTGAGAGAGGATAGGGTCGGTAGTAGACATGGAATAACCAGAAGCCTTCCCAGATGATGAAGCAAATGACGATAAATATTCATTATACTCTCTACTCCCGACTAAAAACATGCTAACTGAAAACATGTCAGGTCCTATAGCATCCGCCATTATTTCCGGCAAGGTCGCATCGCCATTCAAATACTGCATCACTTGCCTCATGCTAGGCCTAGCCACTGGATTAGAATGCGAGCAAAGTAAACCCAACTTCAAAACCAACTCCATTTCTTCAACCTCAAAATCACCTCTCAAGCTCGGATCACTTGCCTCAAGAATAGCTCCTTGTACCCATCTCTCCACAACCCACTCTGCCAAAATCATGTTATTAAGCTGTGGCTCTACAGGTTTTCTTCCACAAGCCACTTCGAGCATAAACGCCCCGAATGCAAAGACGTCTGTGCTTATAGTTGCCTTGCCAGTTCTAGTCAACTCTGGTGCTAGATAGCCAACAGTTCCAACCACTTGGGTTGTTTCAGGATTTGTGCCATGATCGTGCAATCTAGCAAGGCCAAAATCTCCAAGCCGACCGTTAAAATCAGCATCTAGCAGTACATTACTGGCCTTCACATCTCTGTGAAGAACAACTTGTTCCCATTCTTCGTGTAGATATAGAAGGCCAGAAGCTATTCCTCTGAGAATTTGATAGCGTTGTGCCCAATTAAGGCTTGGTTTTTGGTTGCTGTATAAGAACTTGTCGAGACTTCCATTGGACATGTAATCATAGACCAAGAGAAGCTCTCCCTTTCTCCGGCAGTAGCCGAGGAGGGCCACCAAGTTCCTATGCCTCAGCCTTCCCATGCTACCAATTTCTGCCACGAATTCCCTCATCCCTTGTGTTGAACCATGTGAAACTCTCTTCACTGCTACTTGTGCTTTGGAAGAAGGAAGTACTCCTCTATAAACTTTTCCAAAACCTCCAGCTCCAAGAAGCTCTTTCTCTTTGAAACCTTTGGTTGCTTTGTAGAGATCCTTATAGGAAAATCTCTGAGGTCCATATTCCACTTCCCAATCCTCTCTTAGTTCTTCATACTTTCTCTTTCTCAGAATGTAAGCAGTCCCACATAGAGTGATGATCACAATAGATACTGAAACAATTGAGACTACCATTTCAACAACTGGTAATCCCTTTGATTTATTTGTACGAGGAATCGAAGGAAGCTTTGAGAGTTCTAGACCCTTTGCTGACCCAGTTTTGTTGAAGCTCCACCCGAGAATATAGTGGTTGCTTGCGGCAACTGAACCTGTTGCTGCAGAGAAACCAACATACATAGAGTCCAAGAAAATTGGAGAAAGATCAATGGAGGTTGACAGGAGAGGTTGATTAGGTTTTGGGCTTCTGATTGGGGCTAGTGCAACGTTTATAATCTTTTTTCCTCCATCATAATCGATCCAAATTTGAATTGGGTTTCCACTCGTAAGCTCCAAGCTTTTGTTTACCCTTTTGGAGAAATATGACACAGGAGCTGATGCAGTTGAGTTTAAGCTGTTTACATCGATTCCAACATGATTGCCGTTAATATCTTGGAATAGAGTGTTAGCAATAGTGTCGAACTCAACTGCGAAAACATGGTTTGAGGAAAGGCCGTTGTTAGAAGAATTGAAGAGTCCCAAATAGAGGCTTGACCTGGCACGACTGAATTCCATAGATGGAGAGATGGTGAAGGCAAAGCCATTGCCATTAGGAACTGACAATTCGGGAACTATGGCGAAGATAAAACAGGTGGAAAATGAGAGAGACGACTTCGGGGGTTCGGACGTGTTGAACTTCACAGGAAGTGGGTAGAAAGCATGGCCTGTTTGTTGTCCGGAAGTGTTTGTTAGCTGCAATAGACCATTGGGGAGGATTTGAGCGAGCCCATCAAGGTGAAGTTTGGCTTCACGAAAGCCATTGTAGATGAACTGGTTTTGACCTTGAGCTAAGGCCAAGAGTATGAAAAACACAGAGAGAAGAAGCATCATGAAATGAAGAGATACAAGATCTGTAGTCATTTTGATAGAGAAGAAAAGGTTTCTTCTTTGAAGATGAAGTTACAAATGCTATTCCTTTGCCAAGAAACGAGTTTTCTCAACTTCTAAATGTGCTACACCATTAAATTTTGGAAAATGCTATCTGGTTGAAACGTTCTTATCTCTGTTGCCATCAGATGGGGAAGTTAATGAAAGATTAAATTATATTTTGCCTCCCCGAATTATTATCTTTGTTTTATATTACACCTTTAATTATAAAATTTTTCATATTGTACCATAAAATATCAATTTTGTTTCATATCACATTAATAGATAATAATAAATTTGAAAATCTATCAATTTTGTTTCTTTAAAATGCCTAGTATCACTTTATTTGACCTCTTTTTCAACCAAATGGTTGATGGGAAAAAAAAAAAAAAGAAGAAAATTTGAAGTTTATGAAGGACAAAGTCATAGATGAGTATTTTTCTTTGAGTAATGTTACGCTGACCAAATTTTGGGATCAAATTTAAAGCCTAAATGACATGACATCATATTATTTGGAATCTTTATTGAGACTCAAATGACATGACACGAAATAAAGAAACTCAAATCAGCTGCCACGTCATTTGAACTCTAAATTTGATCTAAACATTTGGTCAACATAGCATTACTATTTTTCTTTATTTTTGATCTGCATAATGTGAAATAGGTAGTTGTTTATTGGTAGTATAAATCATTGACATGCGCATTTATCATCAACAAATTGACAGCTATTATCTATTGAAACAATGTGAAGTAAATTGATATTTTAGAATACAGTATTAAAAATTTTATAGTTAAGGATGTAAAATGAAATAAAGGTAATAATTTAAGGGGTATAAAGTATAATTGACCCTTAATGTAAAGCCAACTACACAAATTGGACGACCATACTGACAAGCGATTTCTTTATCGCTTTATTGACTAGTCAGTCTTTGATATTAAACGACGGGTCGAAAATTTGGTTAAATTGAGGTGTAAGCTATAATTTAAAACCACATAATCGATTACGGATGTCTTTGAACCATCATAATTTTTTCTAAATAGTTGTAACTTTATCTCTCAAGAGGAGTAATTGGCAGTGCATTACCAAAATTTTTTTTCGATACCATAGAATTTCCTTTAAAGGAGATTCGTGGTCAATTTAATAATGATAGGGTGAACTTATATAAATTAACAAAATTAAATTTTTTAATTATGTTTTATGTAAATTTAATAGGCGATGTACCAAAATAAATTAACCAAAACATAAAAGTAGATAATAAATTAACCACAAGTAAGACACAAAATTTACGCGATTCTCACAAACTCGGGTTACGACAACGAACGCTGATCTTAATATTCGATTATATTTTAATTATAAGTTTACAACAATCCTCTCCAGAAAAATTATCAGGAGTTATCAAAGTATTAATAATTGATCATTCGAATATGAATATCAACAAAATAATAAGAAATGATCTAACTCAATAAGCCTTGCAAAATATCAATCTGAAAAGACTTTTGATAAATAAATTAATCACTACGTAATTTTTGTTATCATATTAAAATTTCATCAAAATTGAACATTGAATACCTGTGTCCGACATTTGGTCGAACAACACTTTTGCGTTCTCCTTTTGGTCTGCGCAAAAATTCTGTGTTTTTTGCCGCACAATTTACGTCGCTTCCAGAAAGTCTTCGTTGTTGGCTAAAAATCAATTCCTACTTAGTTTTACTTCATGTGGTCAAAGGTTTGTCACGTTATTCCACAAAACATTTCTTTTCTTTAATTAATGAGTTTTGTTGAACTGCCCACTGGTTGAACCCAAACCCATCAAATAATAATGGATTATATCAAATATATTAGGTAGAGGCATTGATATCTATAAACAAATAGGCCTACGACTTCTCATTTCATTTTCCAAATTTAGCAAGAAAAATTCTTGTTTTTTTACTAGGTTTGAGAGGATGAGTGCAGAGAGGTTTTACAAAAGTTTAAGGACTCCGGCTGAGATACTAAATGTAAGAATTGTGTTTGTATAAAAGTAATGTTATTGAGACTTTAAAAACTAACATAATTATGTTCAATTCTTCTCCGACGTTTAAAAAGAAGAGTCGGATCATGTCTAATACACATAGACGGGATTTTATCAAGTCGCATGTGACTGTTATTGATGATGCACAAATTTGATTATGCACAATCAAATTAGTCGAGTGTACGGAGCAAGCAAATAATAAGACAATCAATAATAAAAGACAGAGATTGGGTGATTGGGCCTAGGTGACCTAATCACTGAAGGCGACAACGGTGGTCGAAAAATTTAATTAATGAGAGAATAAAGTAGTAAGTGAGGGAGAGAGAGAACAAAAGTATGCTCAAGACGTGGTGTGTGAGAGATGTCCCCATGTGTAGGAGATTTATAATTTATAACCATAGATCCTTGGATGAGACGGTGATGTGAAGGTCATGCTACTAGTCTATCAAGAAAGATAGCTACAATTGGTAATAAATACTATATTGGAGTCACGACTATCTCGGTGATTGCTCTTCCACATGCACTGACCATTCCTGGACTTTTGGGATGTGGGTTGGACCCAAGTCATGAACTAGGCTTGACTTATTTAATGATTTAGGCTTAACCCATGGACTGGACCCAGACCCAAACCCAATTGGATCTTAGGCTCGTCAGTTATTATTGTTTTTTTTTTTATTTTGTGTGCTTTGATGCATGCTATTATTTATTATTCACTATTGTTACTTGGAACATAATTTAGTGATTTAATGCATTGTGATCTTTTAATTGATAATGGAGTGCATTAAATAATGGGACCTATTGAAGATTAAATGATTATAATCATTAAGTTCCCAAATTATGTCTCAATTGCATTGCTATTCTTTTATTGTTGTATTGACCAAAATAATGGGTGTTTCACCAATGGCCGTTTGACCCAATGGTACCCTTGTTTAGACTTCACCTTCTTGAGGCTAAGGGTCCAAGTCCCATAGACAATAAAAGGGTGATTGATTGGTAGGACGTATCTCAGTTGCTTAAATGAATCGTATTCAGGGGTGGAGCCAAGATTTTACTTCAGTGGGGGCAACCTAAATTCTTAAATTTTAAAGTATAATTGTAACTTCGAATTTAAGAATTTAGGTTGCCCCCATTGAAATTTAAAAACTTTATAATTTTTTTCTTTCCTTTTTTCCAGATAAAAAAAAATATAATTGTAACATTGTTTTTATTAAAATATGTATTCTTGATAAACTGTTTATAAACATAGTTACGTCAAAAGAATGTCATTTAGAGGCGTAACTCATATATATGAGTGATGTACAAAAAAAGACAACAAAAAAATTTCACATCAAAAGTATCCTGTAGTGTTCAAAATATTTGGTTAAT